AATTTATAGTCATTTTTTATGAGTTTAAAGTAAAAAATCCAAAAAAAGTCCTATTTTGGTTATTTTTACCAACACTGTAAATTTGAGTGTTTTATTTTAAAACATTAAAAGTGTTCGATTTTAAAACATTTTTAAGTGTTTTAAAATCAAGAGAATGTTAATCAAATGGCTGACGTCATATTAAAATACTTTTAATGTTTTAAAATAAAACACTCAAATTTACAGTGAACCAAATCAGTATTTCTTGCTAAAAACTTCCTAATGCATGAGCTGCTATTGATGAATAATTGCAACGTGCTTTTGATGTAACTTACATGTATCATTTCTGATTCTTGGTTTTTATTATTTTCTTATGTATCTATAACCATAGTTTGGCTTATGCTGTTGGGCCTATGCATGCAATTATAATTGTTTGAAATAAATAAATAAAAAAAACCAACACTTTTTAATTTTTTTTGCTACTAAATTTTCCTGTAAATTGACTGATAAAAATTGCTAAAAAAATTTTCTTCATGTACGGGTTAAATTCGATTATAAATAGATTATTTATTAAAGTTAAATGGAACGTTTATTATTACAGTCAATAGTCTGAATTTCTTAAAAATATTCAACTACATCTTCTTTAATACATCATTGGTCGCGCGAGAATCGTTCACATTTTATAAATATTACGTTTGAAAAAAAACTAAGCATGATAATAACTAGAAATTCAAACTTCTCTTTTAGATTCAACTACATTCAACCCTCTATAATTGGGTCTTTAATAAAATGGGCAGTTGAAAAGATGAACGTTGGCTCGACCGTCTTTGAAAATCAGAATGGGTTATTCTGTAAAATCGACACTTTCCAATACCAGAGCTTCGAACCAGCCTTATCCGACTTCCTATCTCTCTAATGCTATGACTTGGGTATGGACCTGACTTCTCTAGACATCAATCCGCTACGAGCGTTGGTCATATTGAAGGCAGAGACACATGAGCCAACTTATACGAGGGAATGCGCATCTGTTGTAATTCCATCAAAAAGTTGTCAAAGTTTTGCCATAAAATTTTTTGTTATGTCTGCTATTATAAAGACATAAACAAATGTTATTTATTTTTATTTTAATTATTATTTAATAATTATTTCTATGATAAATCCATGAATTAACAAATAATTATTTTAATGCATTAATCTATTTAAAAATTGATGCACTAAAAGTGCAATAAGTGTTTTAAAACTTATTTTAATAAATTAGTTCATTTTCTTGAGCGTTTCACTTTGCTCTCCCTTCCCCTATAAATATTGGTCGAAGTCTCAACTACCCCTATACATATTGACATGAAAAAAATTCATGTTTCAATATTGAATTATTATCGGAAATCAGTTACTTTATACAGTTCGTAAAGGGTTACATCGAAACCTTAATAAAGAGTAGAAAATTATTTCATCTCCCATCTGACCAAGAAATAAATTTCTACGGAGAGGAAGTTTCCGTTGATTTTCAGATGAGTAAAAAATTCACAGCTATTATAAAGCTTCATATAACTCGACAGAATTATTCATACAGATGAAATGACGTCTCGTTGAAAAACAGTTTTTTCATGTATTATCAGTATAGCAGGTTTAATAAAGTAATCTCTTTGCTAACATATTTTTCTACAAAACATTTTTAACTATGTTGGAAATATGTTATTAAATGAAAATATTTTATTGAAAATAAATTTTACATAAAAAAAAGGGGAAAAATTTCATTATATTATTAAAGGAATGAAATACTTTCGAAGTAATAAGAAAAATTGCTTTATGTAGAAACTTACGGAAATTCGAAGATGGTACTACTTTATTTCACATCCGCAATAGACGTTATATTTATTTGAGGAATGAATTTTTCAATACAAAAAATCGGAAATAAATCAATAATGAGATTGTTCATTTTTATAAAAATTCTTAAATTAGGAATAATACACATATTTAATAGAATAATTCTATATTTAGATAAGTATTGAGAAAGATTACTCGTATGATTCAATAATTTGGGATATAAAGTAAACATCAAAATAAAAAAATCATTTACATCAAATAAATATTGCTGTTCAACGATGTGTAACATTTTTTTATAGTACAAAACTCATTCAACGTTTTTATTTTAAAGTAATATTATTTTCATAAATATGTATGTTGACGTAAGTTATGGCAATATTTCAATATTATTCTTACATTCTTTTTTATCACAAAAAGTTCCATTGCATAGTCATCTAACGACTAGATAAAAGCAAATATACTTCGAATATTGTACGCTACGAAATATTTATAGTAATTACTTGAATATGTCATTCCTGGATATATTTTATGACTGGAGATTGTGTTTCTTACATATCCTTACTTGACCTCTAGCTACTATTAATCAAAAAACCATGAAACTATGTTAGAAGAGACAGAGAAATCTCAGTCGCATTTTTTCCTCTACAAGAAAGCATGCACCTCTCCTAAAAACAATTTTAACCAAACGCAACTCTCAACTTATCGTTCGATGAATTGTCTTTCGGTCAAGGAGCAAAATAAAAACTCTTTCTGGACCAATGCCTTTATAATCTGACACAATGACACGCTTATCTCTGACCAGGTTATACTTCGCATAGATAATAAAAACGCTTTATGGCCTTGGGTGACTAATAAACGTTTTATTATATTTATTGATAAAAAAATAAATGTACAAATCTAAATTTTACAATATAATTTTCAGTAACGACAATGAAACACACGCTTCAGTTTTCTTTATTGTCTACTATTTTCAAGGGCTTTCGATGTATGAAAGAAAAACAACACATGAATTAGATGAGAGAATATTTTTTCGTTGCATGGAAAGTTCACTTTTCCAATAGAGAAGGGTTGAACTTTCCACACAGATATGTCGAAAATCATATTCAGCCATAGAGAGGATAATTAGACTATCCTACACCACGTGGTTTAAGCTAGTCTACTTTTCCTCCCTAGGAGTGAAATGTACTATTTTCTTATACAGACAGATATTGTCTTTTTTTGCGAGAGAGAAAACGTCACTTTTCCAACCTCAAAATAGGCATCAAACTTCAAGTTTGGACAATGGTATGATAAAAAATAGCATGTTAGCTATGAAAGCAAAGTAAGATATCCTTACCTGAGTGTTGACCACGATGTAATTTTACACCGAGGTCAGAATATCATACTTTTCTCCCTAGGTTAACAATGTACCATTGCTCGTCTGATTATGATCGGAAAGTCGAGCAGAGCGCCTAGGATGAGCAACTGTATTTATTTAAACATTCAAGCACGTAACAATTTTTCTCGTTACAATTTTTTTTTATCAATAAACGTGAATTTATATCGAGTTATTTCATTTTTATGTTATACAATAAAAGTCATGAATTTACATTCATAAATACAGAATGTAATTTCTATGAAACATAAAGTAGAAGTGAATAAAATATCGTGCAAATTAGCATTCACAGGAATTAAGAAGCTTCATGACTTTTAGAGAAGGGTGTGAAGAGATGATAGAATTTATAGGATGAACACGTTACCCTTATTGATATTTACAACTTGATTGTCTGGAAAAAGTACCGTATTTTTCCAGAATAAACCATTGAAGGCCTGGAACCAATATCAAAGTTCGAGAAACAGGAAAGAAACAAAAGCAATGTAAATATCAAGAAAGTTTGTCTTTGTCACACAATTGTCGGAAACGTTCATTTTACCTTGACTTCTCGCCCGTTACCCTATTGATCTTTCAAGACTATTCAACTCTTGACAAATTTATCAAAAATCTTTTACGTAAAATAGATGAGATTGTTTCTCGTGAAATTGCCAAATACCTTTTGTGAAGAGTAAAGTCACGTTTGTTCGTTCTCTTGCCATGTTCTTAAAAGTCTTATTTCCGATTGATTATGTGTCGATATGTTAGGCGGAAAAATTATCTGATGGTTTAACATTATTGGATTTATGTATTTCCAGTGATTCATGTGTTTCGAGTTGACGGAAAAAAATATGTAATTTAATTATATGTCACGACAATATACTTGAGGAAGTCGTTGTAGGAAGTCAGAAGTAATTTGCTGATAACGATTTTGTTTTGCTCTTGCGAAGATGCAAATTATGTTAATCCCTTTTTTATCCATGTTACTGATGATCATTAAACTAAATTATTTGGAAAAATACTCTAATAATATTATATAATAAAATAACGTAAAATATTATAAAGAATAAATTATTCTGAGAAAACAATTGAAACATTGAATTTGGAATAAATTTGTGACAAAAAATGAAATAAAGAAAAAACTGAATGTATTTCGTTTAAAAATAACAATGCTATTTTTTGATGTAAAAAAGCTTTTTTTTGTGCATAAAATATTCATTAAAGTAGTTGAAACTACGTAAGAAACAATGTATTTTATACCCCGCTCAGAAACTTAAACGCCGAAATAGCTCATTGGGAGAGCGTTAACTGAAGATCGAAAGGTCCCCTGGTCAATCCCGGGTTTCGGCAATTTCTTTTTTTTTTTTTTTTCAATAAATTTTTTTTTTTTAATTTTAAATTTTAATTTTTTGGAAAAATAAACAATTATTTTGATGTCATTTTTATTTATATATTCATAATTTATTCATAGTCACGAACTGAAGAAACTTTTTGGCAATAGACTGAAGTTAATGTAGCAAAGCTATAGTGAAAACGACAGTCTTCAAAGAAATGATTTCAAACTAGACTAAAGACTATTGGATATTTATAAAGTTTGAAAGCTTGGTTTACAACTTAAACAAATTACTGGGATAATTTTTATATAATAGTTTTTACCTGTAATAAGTGACTTGGACAGCTATTCAATAAAACTTGTTAAAGATGTTGACATCTCAATAGTTCTTGTAAATATAATTTGCTATTATTGGTTGTTACGCCGTGACGACCTCACCCCATACTGTATTTAATTTTTGCTGACTGTAATATTATTACGCCTGTGTCTCGAGACTCATGGCAACTCTCTTACTTAGTTTTTCATCAAGCGGCAGATAAACATTAGTAGCACTACTTTGTATTTGATATGTTTTCATCTTTGTTAGTCAGGTCAGCGACAGGAAACTATCATTGAAAAGTAGAAACAGAAATAAAATAGACGTTTTCTCGATTCCTGGGAAGAATAAGAATCAGAATATTGTCAATAAGTTGTAGAATATTCAGTAATAAATAGAAGTGATTAAGTAACTGTACGGTGGTACTATATTGTAGTGCTAAACAATTTAAAGTGTAATTAATATTAAAGTGACAATAAATTTGTGCTCACTTCAAATACATTTTTGTGTATTTAAATTGACTGAAATCCTAGAATTTATCCACGGCATATACAAAATTGGTGGCAGCGGTATAGCTCAAATCAGGTCGAAATTTGAATGCTTGGATTGATAAGGATAAAGATGATAATAACAACACTCTGTAAGTACAATTACTTATATAGGAACACTATTGACGGATAACGCATTTCGGAATACAGAGAAAAATAATAATATACGATTATTTTAATACGGACGATTCTAACGAGTCTACGGAGATTTAAACGATATCGAAAATTCAGTAACAGAAAACACGATGGAAGCTCGAATCCAGATCTCGTAAATTCAGTACAAGCATACAGAATCAATTAACTACATTACATGCAATATAGAAAATATAAGCACCGGCTAACAATCACCGTCAAATCACGATACAGTCGATCACGCATCTACACGCAAGACAGCGTCGCGACGGCAACGATATAAAAATCTTAAACAACAACGCGATTAGTACGGAATTCGAAGGCAATAACATAGCAGTCGAAACATTTATTTTCGAAATAAAATCTATTATTGATGATTTGCGGAGGAGCAAGAAATACATTTGTTCGATTGATCATTTCAAAAAAGATGATTAAGGGCGCACGGAAAGCTATCGACGGGCACGATATTCGATCGTCAGATGATCTATATCAAGTTTTACGTAACAATTTTGGCGAGTGTAAAGATCTTACGATATCGCTATTCTTGAGAGAAGCCAATGTCAACAAGATCAGAAAAAGTACCCTTACAATAAACGATTCACTGAATGTCATCTTAATATTAAAAGAGCAATAAATAATATGTTGATTAGGATAAAGAGATCGCGCCGTTATATGAGCAAATGATGAAAAACAAGGACTGATACGTACATTCGTGGTTTAAAGCCGAGTGTCAGATTATTCGTCAAAGCTGGAAAAACCTACAACTAGTCGAGAGCTCAAAATTTAGCATTAGAACAGAGAAAGAAGAAGAAATATCGCGCGTGGGTTTATAAAATTCGAATCACGAAAACAAAAACCTATTACAAAAATTTGAATAGAAACCCGAAAAGCATCGATATGAAACGCAGAAAATCTGGCGCAAACAAAAAGCGATTTCCATGTCATGGATGTGGCAGTTTAGACCATTTATTCGAGACTGCCCACAAAACCTACTAATGCAAATTTTCCGTCGCCCGACAACCAACCGTGCCCAATCCCATCAATACACAGAATGTTCAAGGAACTCAAGAAACCCAGGAGCAACCTTTATGCTCAGAATCACAGCCAATTCGGACAGCGATACTATTCGTTCTTGGCAGACACAGGAGCAGCCGTCAACGTCATCAAATTAAGTGTACTGTCGGACTAACCAGTCAGGCAAAACCTTGGCGCAGCTAACGGGTATCAATGCGTACGCTGTGAATTGTACTCAGGATGTAAAATTGAAATAGATAACGTTGAACACATTTTCTCGTAGTTCCTAACGAGTTCCCCCTGGAAGAAGACGGTATTGCTGGTCGTTGTCCATTTCTTGAGAAAGAAGATGCTATAATATGAGCGAACGAAGAACAATATTTTTAATAGGAAAATACCAGAATTAAAAATGTTGAAAATTGAGAGAGAGAATCAAACAATTACACATAGAGAGAAGTAAACTTTTAGAGGAAAATACACGTCTAATCATATTTTGGACGAGAAGCTAAGAAAATATATTGGAAATAATAGATTCATATCAGATGTGTCTGTTTGCCAGCAAGATCCGTTACAGCACAGATTTAGGAGTATCATCCACTTGAAACAACAGACGAAATACCGGTTTTTGGTAAACAATATCGATATCCACACTGGACAACTTGAAGAAATTTCGAGACAAGTGAAGAATGAAGAAAAAGGACTAATTACAGACATGCCGACTCTCCATATACTCACCTTTGTGGATTGTCCCCAAGAAAAGTGACGCTTCAGGAAACAGAAATGGCGAGTTGTAGTAGGACTATCGAAAATTGAACGAAAAAACTCGCGCAGTATGCTTATCCTATACCCAACATAGAAGAAATTTTAGACCAGCTTGGTAACGCTCGCTATTTCAGCTTTGATTTAGCAGCGGGTTTCACCAAATCCCGATGAGAAAGAACATCGACATAAAACGGCTTTTAGCACTCCTCAAGGCCACTACGAATTTGTCAGAATGCCATTCGGGTTGAAAAACAGTCCTTCACCTTCCAAAGAATAATGGATAAAAGCTTTAAGAGGTTAATTGGAAAGTATGCTTGTGTTTACTTGGATGATGTCATCATATATGGAATCAACCTTGGAAGACACAATAATAAATTACGTCTCTTCCTACAGAGAATGAGAGATGTTAACCTCAACTGCAGCCTGACAGTGTGAATATTTAAAACCTGACTACAGTTTTTGGGTCACGTCATCACAAGGATGGTGTAAACCTAATCCTGAGAGTGTAAAAGTGTTCGAGAATTTCCTCGTCCAAAAAACATAAAAACATCAAACAATTTTGGGACTTTCAGGCTTACTAGAAAATTTATACAAGAGTACAGCAAAAGGCTACCCATTGACACAATTGCTAAAGAAGAATGCACCTTGGTATGGGAAGTAGAACAAGAAAAGCATTTAACAATTCCTTAAAGAAGAATATGTAATAGATCCATCCTTGCATACCCAGATTTTTCAAAGGAAGTCACCTTAGCTACGGACGCATCTCTGGCGTTGCAATAGGTGGAATATTATCGCAAGAAAAAATGGAAAGGAACACCCAGTGTCTTATACATGTCGGGTACTCAATGCAGCCGAACACGCTATTCAACTATTGAAAAAGAATTATTAGCAGTGGTATGGTGTGTAAAACACTTTCGCCCATATTTGTATGGTCCGCAAGTTCAAATAATAACCGACCATAGGCCTTTGTTTGGTTATGAATCTAAAGATCCTCATTCACGATTAGCCAGATGGAGAATCATGCTAGAAGATTCATGATTATGAAAATTGTCTATAAGAAGGTGTTTTGAATACAAATGCAGATGCATTATCAAGAACCGGTACTGGCGTACCGAAAGAAGAAGAATGTAAATTCAACTAGTAAAACGAAAGAAATAGAACGAGAAGAATCAGAGAACCAAGTTAGGAAACGGAAGAAGTTGAGTGAAACTCAAACAAAAAGAAAGAAGAAAAATGAGGAATCAGTAACTCATGATAAGAAACGAAAAGAATAGAAGTAAACATAGAACAAATAAAGAAAGAAAGTAGAGGAAGAAAAGGAAGATAATACGAGATTTAGAAAGACCAGAATTAGCCTCACGAGCGAAGCTAGGAAAACAGATAATTTGACGAATGATCCAATACCTGAGGTAGTGTGGATGTATCGTTCATTGAAGGAGAAAATCACAACCCATAGAAGTCTACTCTGAAGAGGACACCAAGAATATCACATTATGGTGAGAATTAATTTAGAAGGAGAAATTGAAGAATTGAAAGAAAAAATTCAGAAATAAACAAATGCAGTTATGAAGAACTTGAAGAACTCCACGTGATCACGATGGATGTATCCAGTTAAGTGGCTTTTCGAGTAAAGCTTTGGAAAAAATTTGGATAAAAGATTCGAAATAAGAAAATCACAATTTATCTTCATGATAACGTAGAATGATTCCAACAGAAGAAGAGATACCGAAATATTAAAGAAACCATGACAGCCTTACGGGAGGACATGGAGGAATTAAGAAAACCTACTACAGAATTGGCAGAGACTATTTTTGGGAATCGTTAAGGAAAGATGTTGATAATTATGTAAGAATTGTATAACATGTCAACGAAATAAAAGCATCGCCATCCAACAAAAATGCCATGGTGATCACCGACACACCAACCAGATTAATACGAAAATTGCCATGGATATTTGTGGACCCTCTACCTTCGACAACAGGGAAATAGATACCTTTGACCTTGCAAGATCAGCTCAACAAAATATCTCGTCGCCGTACCCTTAAAAAATTTCACAGCGCTACAGTATTAATGAATTGTTTGAAACATTGGTCAGCTATTTTGGAGTACCACAAAACATTTTAATAGACAAAGGACAACTTTACAGTGAATTAATGAAGAATTTCGAAATTGTTGGGAATAAACAAATAACGACACAATTCCACCCTCACAGCAACGGAAGCCTCGAACGTAGTCATCAGGTATAAAAGACTTTCTGCGACACTTCTGTGATGAAATGCTCAAAACTGGGACGAAGTAATCCATTTGCAACACTATATTAAAATACATCGAAACATGAAGGAACTAAATTTACACCCTGTGAACTAGTATTCGGTCAGAACGCAAGAGATGTATCATCAGTCAGAAACGTCATAATATACCATATACTGAGTATCTCAATGAATTAAAACGCAAGTTATCAAGAATCTAGATGAATGCAGAAAATGATATCCGAGAGTAACCAAACGATCCAAGGACAGATATGATAGATGAGTAATCCTCAAGTCAACCGGGCGATTAATTTGGTTACGGAAAGAAAGTGTAGCTAACAATAAACACATGCACTCAATCTACCATGGGAAGGGCCATATCAAATATCTGACAAGACGTCTGACGTCAATTATGAGATAAAAAGAGATATAAAAAAATTATCGTTCATAGCAATAGATTAAAATACGCTAATATAATTTGTTTCAGAATTTTCTGATTGAATTTTCTGATGGTAATAAGGAATTTACAGAGAAAAGGTTTTCCTGTATTACCAAA